CCCCCTCCCCCCCCCCCGCCTCTGGGAGCTAGGGGGTGGGTGGTTCTGCCCTCTCCCAGCCCCTTCCAGCCTCATCCCGGTGGGACTTGACTCTGTTTTCGTTCCCCACAGCATCTGGTGGCAGAGAGGGGGGAATTTCCCTCCCTGGCTGGAGCTGCTGGGGAACCCTGTGTCTGGGGACGTGCCTGGCAGAGTGTTCCCTCCTTTTGGGGTTTATCTGCTCCCTCTGGAGCTCCTCACTCCGGATTGGAGCCACCCATGGAGAGAGACAAGTGCTTGCAGGGATCAGTGGGTCCCCCCCAGGCCCCCCTGGTTTGAGTGTGTGTCCCTGCAAAGCTTCTCCTCCCTGGGAACAACCCTCCAGCACCTCCCTCTGCAGACACCCTGGGGGTGCTGCCCTGGGCCCCACCACCTGCAGTGGGTGCTTGGGGGGGAGTCCTGACCTGCTCCAGCCCCTGCTGGACCTCAGACCCCCCCCCCAAATTTTCCTGTGGCCGTGAAGCTCCTCTGCTTGGGGCCAGAGCTCTTCCCTCGGGCTGCCAGCACCCGAGCAGAGCTGGGCAGGAAGGTGGTTGCCACTTCTTGTCGGGTTCTTTCTGCCTTTCCCCTTGCACTGACAAGGTGCCAGAGCTGCAAGTCTGAACATTTTTGGGCAGAGAAATGCTGATCTTGGTCACTTCAGGCTTTTTTTCCATTTATTGGAACATCTCTTTGCCCTGAAGTGTGGGTGCTGGAAGCAGCTGCTCCAGCCTGGCAGAGGGAACAGCTCCTGTAAAATCTTTTCACAGCTCCCAAAAACGTTCCTTATTGCCCAGGGCTCTTCTCATCCCCTGCACTAACACTTCCATGCCAGGCCCTTGCCCGGCTCTGCTCCTAGAGATGCTCAGCTCCTCACACTTCATTTTCATGCTGTATTTTCATAGAATCACTAAGGTTGGGAGTGACCTGGAAGATCATCTAATTCCAGCCCCCCCTGCCACGAGTAGGGAACTCGACCACATGGAATCATTACAGTCGGAAAGGACCTTAAAGATCATCTAGTTTTGAAAAAAAAAAAGACAATTTCACTGTGCTCAACAGGCAGTTGCAGTGACACCGGGCCCGGCGTGTCCCCCGGGCTCAGCCTGGCTGCAGTGTCCCCAGGGATTACTGCCACCACTGCCTGCAGCTCCAAATCCCCGGCCACTGTGACCCAAATCCTCTTTTTTCCGTTTATTGGAACATCTCTTTGCCCTGAAGTGTGGGTGCTGGAAGCAGCTGCTCCAGCCTGGCAGAGGGAACAGCTCCTGTAAAATCTTTTCACAGCTCCCAAAAACGTTCCTTATTGCCCAGGGCTCTTCTCATCCCCTGCACTAACACTTCCATGCCAGGCCCTTGCCCGGCTCTGCTCCTAGAGATGCTCAGCTCCTCACACTTCATTTTCATGCTGTATTTTCATAGAATCACTAAGGTTGGGAGTGACCTGGAAGATCATCTAATTCCAGCCCCCCTGCCACGAGTAGGGAACTCGACCACATGGAATCATTACAGTCGGAAAGGACCTTAAAGATCATCTAGTTTTGAAAAAAAAAAAGACAATTTAACTGTGCTCAACAGGCAGTTGCAGTGACACCGGGCCCGGCGTGTCCCCCGGGCTCAGCCTGGCTGCAGTGTCCCCAGGGATTACTGCCACCACTGCCTGCAGCTCCAAATCCCCGGCCACTGTGACCCAAATCCTCGGTGCCCCGGGGCTCTGTGCCAGCAGGAGCTGTCCCCAGGCATCCCCCAGCCTGCTGCTCCAGCTGTGGGGAGACCTGCTGGGGGTGGGACATTGTCCCTCAGTGTCTCCCATCGGGTGTTTGAAGGTGTCCCCCATGGCCTGTCTGCTGCAGGGTCCCCTGTACCCCCCCAGCCAGCACCAACCCCCCCTGCAGTGAGACAGGGGCTGGAGCAGCAGCTTTCCCTGCCCCAGCAGCATCAATCCCTGCTAATTGCTCAGGTCCCAGCTTGACGAAGCGTTTCAAAACCGGACTTGACTCCAGCCCAATTCAGCGAGGCAATTAAATGCACTCATAAATCCTCCTGAAGTAAATGAGACTTAATCGTGGGCTTAAAGCTCAGCTGAATCCAGCCCTCAGCAGCAGGGCGAGTTTCCCTTCACCTCTTTCCCAGCAGCGCGAGGTTGTCACATGCCCCAGCGCCTGGACCCGGCTCACGTCCTGCTCTGCTCTCCCAGGGGTCCCTCTGGCCCTTCCCTGGTGTCCTGCACCCCCAGGAGCACCTGGACCCTCTGCCCTGCCCGACTTCTCTCTGCTCCCCCGGGGAGGAAGGCCAGGAGAGCCTGGGGTGGAGGCCTGGCCAGTGGGGACAGGACGTCCTCCTCTTGTGGCTGGTGTCAGAGCTAAGGGGATGCCCACCCACTGCTGAGCTCCCAGCCGTGAGGGAACCACCTCTGGTTGGGTTGGAAGCTCTGGTTGGAGCTGTCTGGCCTTGTCCCCCTTTCTCTACAGTCCCTCGTGCTGTGATTCCACCTGGGTGCAAGTCCCTCATCGCCCAGAGCCACAAGACTCCTCCAAGGCGCCGCAGGAACAGGGCAGGGACACCTGGGACAGAGACACTGCTGAGCTGCAGCACCTGCTCATGCCCACGCAGGTGTCCTGGGGAGCAGGTGTCCCCCAGCTCAGGCAGGTAGGCAGTGAAGACCCTCCCTGCGTCCCTCCCGGCCCCTCCCTGGTATCTCCCTCATCAGACTGGAAGGGAATTGAGGAAACTGGTGACAAACACCCTCAGCTGGTGCCTGCGTCTGGCCAGACAATGCGAGGACGTCAGAGCCTGTTTGCCCGTTCATCAATCATTAATGACTCCTGCAGCACGTGGTGCTTGTGCTTCCCCCCCGGAGCTGTTGGTCCCCAACAGGCTGCAGGGGCTGGGAGCCCCAAAGGAACGTGAACTGGGAGGAAAGGTGTCATGTTCAGACACCTTGAGAGGAGAAGGGACATGTCTGGAAAGATGGTGGCAGCAGAAAGGACTGGAAAAGCTTGTAACCCTTCTTGTTTTCATAGAATCATAGAATCCCAGACTGGTTTGGGTTGGAAGGGGCCTTAAAGCCCATCCAGTCCCACCCCCTGCATGGGCAGGGACACCTCCCACCAGCCCAGGCTGCTCCCTTCTTGTTTTCATAGAATCATAGAATCCCAGACTGGTTTGGGTTGGAAGGGGCCTTAAAGCCCATCCAGTCCCACCCCCTGCATGGGCAGGGACACCCCCCACCAGCCCAGGTTGCTCCAAGGCCCATCCAACCTGCCCTTCAACCCTGCCAGGGATGGGGCAGCCACAGCTTCCCTGGGCAACCTGGGCCAGGCTCTCACCCATGTCTCACCTAAATCTTCCCTCTTCCAGTTTTAATCCATTCCTCCTTGTCCTTTCACTCCCTGCCCTTCTCCCAAGTCCCTCCCCAGCTTTCCTGGAGCCCCTTCAGGCACTGGAAGCTGCTCTAAGGTCTCCCTGGAGCCTTCTCTTCTCCAGGCTGAACACCCCACCTCTCCCAGCCTGGCTCCAGAGCAGAGCTGCTCCAGCCCTCCCATCATCTCCATGGCCTTCTCTGGACTCTGTTCCAGGAGCTCCATGTCCTTCTTGTGTTGGGGGCTCCAGAACTGGACACAGTTCTCAGCAGCTCAGCTCACAGATAACCCAGCCAAACACCCAGCTCTGGTACAAGTTCTTTATTTCGTGCAGGAAGGCTGGGAGTTAATCAACTTCAACAAACGACCAATGTGTTCTAGAGACTCCTGGTGGGGCAGTTGTTTCACCAGGTCCAAGGCTTTCAGCCCCATCTCACGAGCCTGGAGGGAAAGCGAAGAGACAAAGGAATTGGGCTTTTCTCAAGTGGTGGTTAGAACACCTGCAGAGGCTCCTCAGAATTGCTGCACTGGAGCAGATCCAGCTCCAGGCTCTGCTGCAGAGGGTGACCTGCACAAGCTGCTTTGCAGGAGAGAGTAAAGCTCCAGCAGATACCACAGTTAGGCCCCAGCCCTGCAGACAAGAGGAGATTACTGACCCCAGCCCCCACGCTGCTGCAGATCATCACCTCCCATCTAACCCAGCAGCTCATCTTGACATTCCCAAAGCTATTTCAGGACAAAAATCCAGATGGATTGACTCAGTCTGAACTAAATCCCTCTTTTCCCCCAGTGGCTCTTCCAGGGATTTGCCTTTCTCACATTCTAATGCTTGGCCTGATTTCTAATTTGGATTTGGGTTTTTTTTTTTTTGTGTCTTCCCAACAGTGACTCACATCACTGTGACCTTCTCCCATACAATGAAGAGACCACCAATAATCTGGACGTTCACCCTCCAAAGCACAGGCAGGAGGGACTTGGGCTTTTGAGCTGGAAGGCCCAGCAAAGGGGCCTGGTTTCCAGATGTTCATTGTTCAGCTCTTCCTCACAACCCGGGATGGTTAAGGCAGAGAACAGGGCACTCTGGAGTCAGCAGTCACATCTGGAATGCTTGGCCATAAAAATACAGGCTGAAAACTCCAAACTGAATGAGAAGGGTCCAGCAACCTGACCCTGCATCACCACCCCCAGCTCCAGGGGACACACACTGACCCACGTCTGCCCCACTGCACAGATCTGAGCTGGGACAGGCAGCCAGGACAGCCCAGATACAGAACAAAGCCAGAAAACATGGATCACTGCAGGATCCAGGGCAGATGGCCTGGCAGGGATCCAACTGGGTCCTGGGGGCTTTACTAGCCCGTGCAGATCATGAGTTGGGTTCACACAGGGCTCTTTGTCCTTGGTCCTGGCATTGCCAGGTTGAGGTGGACTTGGAAGATGAACATGGGCAAGTGGCTTCGTGGGATGGGGTGAGACTGGAACAGAGTCAGGCAGCCCCCCTGGAGCCTCCAGCAAAGGAAACTCACCTTGGAGAAATCCCTGCTCAGGTACCACAGCATGGCCAGGGCGTGCAGGACTCGGGAGGTTTCCCCAGGTTGTTGCTTTGGTGCCTGTTCCCTGACCCCCAGCACCACCCCCAGCACCCGGGCTGCCTCTTCCTGCTGGGCTTCACCTGCTCCAGGGATGAAAGAACCTTGTTGGAAGGACGGATGGAAGATACTGCACCCAAAACTGCCCAGATATCTCTTCTAGACATCAAAGTGTTCCTGCTCCAAGCACCAGTGTGGTGTCCCAGCTCCTTGCCAATTCCACACCCATTACCAGAGCTCTCTTCACCCAGTCAGTGTGTTGATGAAGCTTTAGTGGGGATGTGGAGTCATCACAGCTGCATGAAAAGAGCCACTTTGGTACTCCTGTCATAGCTAACATTGTGTAGCCTGGCTTGGTGTGGTTCCTACTGGATGGAGGCAATGGCAGGTGATGGGATTTCCAGGAATGTTTCTCTTCTCTGATATTGCTCCTCTTAGCATAGATGGTGGGAAGCAGAGAAAGACCAGAGCCAGCCTGACCTCTGGGGAGAGAAGGGCAGGGCCATGCACAGCAGCACATTTCCTGGTGCTTCATGCACCTTTACATTATAGAATCATAATGGAATCCCAGACTGGTTTGGGTTGGAAGGACCTTAAATATCATACAGTCCCACCCCCCTGCATGGGCAGGGACACCTCCCACCAGCCCAGGCTGCTCCAAGCCCCATCCAACCTGCCCTTCAACACTGCCAGGGATGGGGCAGCCACAGCTTCCCTGGGCAACCTGGGCCAGGCTCTCACCACTCTCAGAGATCCCCCATTATGACCAAGTCTTCATTTAATTTTGGCATCAGCTATACTGGTACTTCTGCTAATCACTGAGTTTAACCAGGATGGAGGAGTGGTTCCCCCTCTCCAGGCACAAGAGTCACATGAAGCTCAACTGGTCACAGGACAGAGCTCAGCACTTCCACAAAACATCTCAGGAGATCAATGTTCACACCCTACACTTATCCTGGTGAGACATTCCCCAGCTTCTCTTCCAAGAATATTCTCCAGATTAATACATCCAATTACCAGCAAACACTTTTCCACTGTGTCCTACTGCTCCAGAAGGTAGAGCTGTAAACCCGTCCAAGTGAGATTAAATGTCACTCTCATATCATTAAATAGAAACAGAGGAGAAATGAGGATGCTGAAGTGGAAACAAACCCTGAAGGCAAAATCTGGTGTTGTTCTAGTCTCTGCCAAGGGTGTTGTGAAAAGGAGCACGTCAACAACACAGGCAGACCTGTGTTTCCAGGTGAGCACCCCCAGTCCCAAAGTGGCCTCGTTTGTTCCATCCAGCACAATCCCCGGAGCAGCAACACCGGGAACGCCTGTGATCCCAGTGCCCTGTGGTGGGCAGAGATGCCACACAAAGCCCAGTGCTGCTCAGGTGAGTCGTGGGATGGATCCTTTCCCACCCTCTCTTCCTACCCTTCCCACCCCCCCTTCCCACCCCACAGGGCTGTGCCAGCTCAGTGCTTACTCATCTGGTCTCCGCTGACTTCCCGGTCCTCGGCAAACGGAGACGTTTCCGGTTCTGCCTGGAGGATCTGCTCCTGGGCCTGCACCAGGCTCAGCAGCCAGGAATGGCAGATGGCAGTCACCTTTCAGAAAGCAAATGAATTATTTCACTTGTATGAATAGGTGGTATTTAGCAACTCACTGTTCTATAAACAATGGGTCCTGCAGGGCCCTGCCACAACCCCGTGCCCGCTGAGCTGCTGCCAGCACGGGTGTCTCACCTGCAGATCTGACCACTCTTCCCCCCCCCAGGGCAGCCTCACTTCTCCAGCAGACTGGGAATTGTCAGCAAACTCCAACAAATCCAACTAAATCGTTCACTAAAAGCCAGTTGGGTTGGAGCTGGGGAGGCAGGTTGCAGAGCTGCCAGGGCCTGGTGTCCTCAACCAACCAGGCTAAACAAATCAAGGCTCTGCTTTCCCCTCCCCCCCTCCAGTTATTAGAGTGATTAAATCGTTGTTACTTCCCTTAATCACACCCTTCTGAACATCTTCTAGCAGGGTGACTTCCCATGGATCCCCAGCACAAACCCTACAGGGCTTGTTTGCATCCCACCCCTCAGCAGCTCCTCCCTGCCCACGGAAACTCCTTGTCCACCCTCTCTCCTCGTGGGACCCTCAACCTCTGCCACTGGGTATTTGGTAGCAAAACCATGTTTTTTTAACAGGGCTTGGCTGCCCAAATGGAAGACAACTCAAAAAACAACTTTTTAACCAAGAATTCTTCTCTCTAAGAGTTTACAGAAATTCCTCTCTCCTCGTTTTTTTAACTCAGAGAAATAATTTAGGTGTGACAAAAGTTGCTGAGATTGATCCTAAAAGGCACTTGAGATGCTGACCCTTGTATCCAAGGAAGTCAGAAACTGGGAAGAGCAAAGGAAAACAATCATAATCATGAGGAAAAATATAAAGGATGAGCTTTGGTTTGACCAACCTCAGTATAGAGGGAGTTTGCAATGTCCAGTTTGTTCTGGCGAGAGAAAATATTGGCCATGTGGAAATACCCTCCAGAGACCTCCAGAGACCTCAGGCCAAAGGTAGAGCTGGCCAGGTAGACCTGAAAGGAAAAGCAGAGTTTAAATGTTCATATTCAAGCTGGGGAATTGTTCAGTAGGGATTCACATTATTGCAAATATTCCCTTTTCTTTCTGTGTAACTGTAGTGTCAGTTGTGCATAATTAAGTCCTAATTGGATGCACCAGGGAAAGGCACCAAGAGGCTTTTGCCAGGAGGTTTGTGCACGTGTGGTTGGAAGCCTCACACTGGGTTTTTAATGGATTAAAACTGGAAGAGGGAAGATTTAGATTAAATATTAGGAGGAAATTCTTGAGTGTGAGGGTGGTGAGAGCCTGGCCCAGGTTGCCCAGGGAATCTGTGGCTGCCCCATCCCTGGCAGTGTTGAAGGGCAGGTTGGATGGGGCTTGGAGCAGCCTGGGCTGGTGGGAGGTGTCCCTGCCCATGCAGGGGGGTGGGACTGGATGATCTTTAAGGTCCTTCCAACCCAAACCAGTCTGGGATTCGATGATTTTATGAGGTAAAAGGTACTAAAAAAGCTGTACTTTGGGTTTTCTGCAGAGGAATGCAACAGCTCCACATCTTCTCCCTTGGGCAGAGGAACCTCATCCCAGGTTTCACCCCACTGCAGGGTGGGGCAGGTTTTCCATATGTCCTCCTCCCCTGTGCAACCTGCATCTCTCAGGTCCTCCCTCACAACCTGCTGCAGGTTCTCAGCTCCCAGCCCTGCTGGTGGTGCCTGTTCCCTCCCCAGCCCCAGCCCGGGAGGTGTTGGTGCATTCCAGCTATTCTGAGCCAGCCTGTGACTCTCAGCAGGTCCCAGGCACCCAGCCAAGGTCCAGGCAGGTCCTGGGCTGCTCTGACGTGGAGCAGAGACTTGTTAATGGCACAAAAAACTAACTAATGATGACCTGACACCCTTTCAGGCACCAGACTGAAGGTGCCTCAAACAATGGCACAGGGGGGGGAACCTCTCCCAGAAGGTTCAGACTGAGCAAATCAGGGTTGGGGTGATTCTAGTAAAAAGGACCTGACTCTCCTCACCCCTGTGACTGGGCTGACACCCACACAAAGCAACTATCAGGTTCAAGAGGGGAGGGCATTCCATGCTCCACACTGGATAAATTTAGTCTGCACGGGACATAAATAGGATGTCATGGAGTTCATCTGCCTTTGGGGGATCAAATGACAGGCCAAGCATCCTCAGGAACACAGCTGGCAAGAGCCCCTCTGGAGCTGGGAAGTGCCTCTCCCAGCTCAGACTGAATGGGGGAAATGGCATTGGATCTGACACTGAAAGGGTTAAATAAGGCAGAGGGTTTGATGAGTTAAATAAGGTTAATCAGAGGCTGGAGCAGCTCTGCTCTGGAGAATGGTTGGGAGAGTTGGGGTGTTCAGCCTGGAGAGGAGAAGGCTCCAGGGAGACCTTAGAGCAGCTTCCAGTGCCTGAAGGGGCTCCAGGAAAGCTGGGGAGGGACTTGGGACAAGGGCAGGGAGGGATGGGATGAGGGGGATGGATTAAAACTGAAAGAGGGGAGATTGAGGTTGGACATGAGGAGGAAATTCTTTGCTGTGAGGGTGGTGAGAGCCTGGCCCAGGTTGCCCAGGGAAGCTGTGGCTGCCCCATCCCTGGCAGTGTTGAAGGGCAGGTTGGATGGGGCTTGGAGCAGCCTGGGCTGGTGGGAGGTGTCCCTGCCCATGCAGGGGAGTTGGATCTGGATGATCTTTCAGGTCCCTTCCAACCCAACCCATCCCATTATTCTATGAAAATCATAGCCAAAACAGAAAGTAAATTCCCTGTTGAATAAAAGGCAACTCAGCCACTTTGTGGTAGGAATGTCTGTTCTCAGGACTTTAACCAAGCTGCTAGATAAACCTAAAGCAGATTCAGTGCAGACAAGGTGTCTGTCACTCCAGGGGAATTAAGGGTAACTGGTAGAAGACAATTTTGGTAGCACAAGGACACAGAGATGTCTTGGATCTGGAGACTTCAGGTGTTCACACCACGTGTCCTCTCAGTACCTAAAATCAGGGTGACAGATCTGCCTGCTGGGGCTTCCCTATCCATCTGGAAGTATTACAAAAGGAAGGAAAATGAAGTGTTTCTGTGTTTGAGTTGGCTTACATCATTTGCCAGGTGGTGTAAAGCCTGGTCAAGGTTTCCTTCTGCAACACAGAAGAGCCCCAGAGCACGTTGTACCTGAGACCGAACGGCATCGCTGCAGCTTGGGGTGCTGAGCACGATCCACTCAGCCTGGGACAGGTACTTGGATGCCTCCTGAAGGCAGCCAGCACCTGAATGACACGTAGAAATAAGCAGGATAAAGAGCATTTTAAATTCAGAAATGTAGAGAATCCTGCCCTTGGCAGCAGGTTGGCAGAGCCCTAGGCTGTGGAGGCCCCACGTCACCCCCAAACGCTCCTTCGTGGAGGTTTCAGAATCAAATTTACAGTGTCTAGAGTTACAGGAGAAGCCAGGAACTGTGCATTGCATTGACAACCTCTGAAACACGTGTCCAGAGCAGGTTCTCTACGGGCAGCCACGAATGACTCACGTATTATCACACCAGAATTACTCATGGGAATGTTTTCCCCTTCTCTTGCCACCCCATTTACAGCCCCTGAGCCAGCTCAGTCCTGCCAGCAGGACACAGTGTGTCCTCCTGAACAGCAAGGATTTACAACCACTTCTGAGTCCTTCACCCCTGCAGGTGAGGAACAGCTCTCCTCCACATGAAGACTCTAATTTTTCATGTCTTAGAAAGCATGGAGGCAGTGAGAGCAGCTCTGCTGCAGGCAGGGACAGCTTTGGTGAATGAACCCAGGCGCCGGCTGGTGCAGTGGCCTGGGAAATGTTTGCTGGTTCTCTGAGATAAGAGAGCAGAACCAACCACCTTGGAGAATGTTCAGCTTTTAGGAGTCACCCAGAGGTAAAGAACAGATGTTCACCTTGCTTCTCTTGTGGGCATTGTTGGGATGGAGAAAGCATTTCATTTGCTTTCATTGATCTCTTCACGGGGCGGGACTGATCCCGCAGCAGAGGAGGAGGGGGGTGACTTCTCAGATCTCTCTGCAGTGCCCTTGAGGCAGGGCAGGGTAGGGACACGGCAGAGCTGCTCCTTCCCTGATTAATGCTAAGAAGAAACCAGTAACCTGACCCAGAGGAGGTCTTGCCCTTGCCAGTGTTACTATTTAGACAATACTCACCAGTGGAGGCTTCGGCCAAGAGCAGATAAGAGGGCACCAACTGCACAGAATCCGAGCCATGCACCTCAGCACCCAACCTCACGGCCTGCAGGGCTGCAGGGATGGCTTCTGGGTGTCTGCCCTCCCAAACCAGCCCCTGGGCTCTCCTCTGCACCAGGCCCAGGACGTGTTTCTGCAGGGAAAGGTGGCAATGGGACAAGGGTGAGTGAAGGAGAAGCACCAGGAACGGTCGCTTCTCACATTCAAGTTTGGAAACTGTAGAAGAGTCATTGGCTTCAAGCTGCAGGTTCAGACTGGACATCAGGAGCACTTATATCACAAAAAGGGTCGTCAGACCCTGGAAGAGGGTGCCCAGGGAGGTGGTGGAGTCACCATCCCTGGGGGTGTTGAAGGGTGGTTGGGATGTGGTGTTGGTGGATGTGGTTGAGGGGAGAACTTTGCAGAGCAGGGAGGATGGTTGGGCTGGGTGATCCCAAGGGGCTTTTCCAACCTGAGTGGTTCTGTGATTCGATTATTCTAATGGCCTTTGTGTCTGGAATTAATGGCTGGGAATTAAAGCTGGCATGTTAGAGCCTGGCTCTCATTCCT